TAAAAAAACATTTTTTACAACACGGAAAAAATCCCAAATTCCTTAAATGCATCGGCATAGATATCTGCAATGTTCCTTGGAGAGGTGGAGACATTAAGAAAGTTTTAGGCAAAAAAGAAATGGAATGGGCATATAACTTGAAAACTCTCGCTCCCACTGGCCTTAACATTGATTTTGATCTTTTTATTTTTTTATAATATTGCTGCTTTTTTAAGGATACCCTTTTAAGGATTGTTTTTTACTCTCCTCTTCCCCCTTTTTAACTTATATTGAAAAGTGCCTTTATAAATATATATGTATATATACTATCCTACCTACTATAATTTTATTTTATATTCTATTATATTACAAACATATATTTTTTTATATATATATATATATATTTATTTATTTATACAAGCACATATGTGCAATCATTGTTAATTTTATCTATGTTCTTGCAGAAAATATATGAAAAACGTGCTGTTTATTATTCTAATAATTCAATTAATTCATTATATATATTTTATTTTGCCTGTGTAGATATCTATGCTTTTGTAGTCATGTTGTCCTTCATTGGATTCGAACTCATGTGGGGCTGGCTGTTTTTTGCCTGTGTAGATATCTATGCTTTTGTAGTCATGTTGTCCTTCATTGCATTCGAACTCATGTGGGGCTAGCTGTCTGCCTGCAGTCAGTGAACTTATGTGCTGAGCCACAGCCATCTACCTGCTCTTGCATATAAACGGCTCTACCTCTTATCCTTTGAATGAGGCAGGATAGCTACCCCTTACACTATATGCCACAGAGCATCATGTGACGCGGAAGTACTTCTTATCCCGTGTCACATGACAGTTTTCTTTATTTTTTTACTTAAAAAGTAAATTATAACCTTCGTTTTAATATTTAAATAATGCAAATATGCTTTTTATCACTGTATTGTCAATTTTTATGTGTGCAATAACTGTTTTATAATAACTTCCCTGTATTATCTATATGCTAATTTTATGACGTCATTTTGGCGGGAATTTTAAATTTAAAGTACTATTACACACTATATAAGCTTATGTATGTCAGGTATGCCCCCCCTCTTTCCCACTATCTACTTGAAGAAGCCTGTTAAGGCGAAACGCGTTTAGATATTAATAGATTTTGTTCTTAACTCTATAATAAAGATATTTTATTGGCATAAAATACTTTATTGCCATTTGCTTTTTCCTTTACCTGATTTTACATACATTTTCTTTTATTGCTTTTACGTATACGGCTCACCCTGCAGGAAGTGCAAAGAATCCATAGGTGGGGATTATACCACCTGAGCGCCTTCACTGAGCAGTTTTGAGTCTGCTCTACTTTACGTGAGTAGTATACTTTACTTTCTTTTAATTTTATTACATACAGTGAGCACTATATATTTTATTTCATTTTTTCCTCTGGGTCGTATCACGTCAAATTGAACGCTGAACCCACGTCAGATATTCAACAATCAACATTTACTCCATATATCCTTGAAGTGGGGATTATTCCACTTTACGCGAGCAATATCAGAGCTGATCCTAGCTCTGAAAAGTGTGAGTAAGACTGATTTTATACCTTTATATTTATTTTATACACCGATTTACTGTGCCATTGGAGTCCTGTTTTTATTTTTCTCTCCACATATGCTGAATTCTCAACATTTGAAGATATGATCCCACCTACACCCTAAAGAATATTCCTTTACAAGTGGGACCTACCCTCACGGACTGTGATAAGCCTATTTTATTGGACTATTGTTTTATTACTTATTTTATTCTGTATTTTATCTGACTAATTTAGTCTTTTATTTTATCAAGTTTTAGGCGCATCCTTATATCTATGTTTGTTCTTGCTATCTGTTATCATTAGGGGATTATTGGGGACTCCCCTTTGAGGATTGCTGCCTTTCTTATAATTTTATTGTGGCAATTTAGCGCTGTTTTCTTTCTCTTTTTCCATAAAATGGACCTGAATATCTGATTATTTGTCTGTCAAACTGCAGTCAAAGTTTTCATATACATAAAATGTTCATTAAAAAAAATTCTAAAACATTAGATTTCATTGATAACATTTTAATGTATTTTGTTCTCATTTGAATTGTCTTTTCTTTTTAAAACTGTAATTATTTCTTAGTGATACCCAATCATTTCCAGCCTTAGAATTAAATTGCAAATGACTATAACATTAGATAACATGACAGTTTAATTTCTTAATTCAGAAAAATAAAGTTCCATAAATGTTCTCAAAAGACATTTAGAAGTAGAAAGTAAATCCCAAACGATGACTTTGATGAAAAATGTGACCAAAAGTCTTTTTTGCATAATCTTGAGCCATAATCTTGTTTCTTCAATGAGCAGTAATGTTAAACCTCTGCTCCATGAACCCACAAATCTCTCTACTCAGCTCCCTATGTGTATGTGATTCTGGCTGTGTTTGATGTTGTTTCAAATTCCAGCAATAAAGTTTAGTCTCTTCTCCTTTAACGCATGGATATCTTGACTTTGCACCCACTGTCTACATGATTCGGGCTGTGTTTGATGCTGCTGTTTCAGATATTCATGCATAAGGTTCCCAGCCTGGCAGTAGAACATATACACGGAAATTAATTGTCTACATGAACTAATTCTGGTTACCATTTCATAATAACCACACAATGTTTTTAACATAACTAAAACAAATCATTCTACTAAAAGATTGTCATCATTATTTTCATTTGGAAGGCCAGACACCATCAATTAGATCATATAATGAATGCATTTATTAAAAACTAACATTTTCCACAGAGCTGTTCAAATGAGAAACAGGACAGTAAAATAAACACAAATCAATACAAACGGTAATGAAGGCCCTGCCCATGACTTGAGATCTAGCCATTAAAGCTCTTTTCTACAAAGTACTTGTCAAGATAGACTGTGAGCTTACAATTTAAAGGTTACTTTACTTGCCTCCTTATAGAGACCTCGTGTCTCACTGATTTATATGCTACACAGAGCTCAATATTCCCACTTTCCTTTAACCCCTTAAGGACACATGACATGTGGGACATGTCATGATTCCCTTTTATTCCAGAAGTTTGGTCCTTAAGGGGTTAACCATTAGCGAGTGTAAATTTTGCCCTGGATAGTTGAAATTTACAACTAGGGACTGTGGCCTCCAGGTTTGCAATGGCAAGTATCATATAAGCCCTTCCGTTGATGGACGCTTCCTAGCTTGCGCCGAGGACCACAAGCACCACACCAGACACCACAACCACCGTAGCTTAACTGGAGTCTCACCGTCCTCGTCCACCCTGGATCAACTTTTGTCCTCCAGGACCTTGTGGTGAAGACCTCTTCTCCAGGAGAGCGTAACAGGAACAAGCTCTTAAAAGAGCTAAGTGATTACAGCTCAGGGGAGTATGCAGAGCATAGCAATCCCCAGTGTGAGTTTAGTTGTGCCCTCCAATCACGAAACAAGACTACGTGTGAGGGTGAAGAAGAACTGTAGCTTTTAATCAAACATTCTGCTTTTATGCACATTTTACACACACAGTACTGCCCACAGTGTTTTGCAGAACAACCAATCAATACATACAATACACTCAGACATCCCCACACAAAAACCTCCCCTCTGCCTGTGATATAATTACTGAACACAATGGTCTAACTTAATTATCACAGGCAGGAAAATACACAGTTTTACACAATATTCATAACTCTGAAAGTATACATCACATTCACATACATTTTCAAAATCAGCATACTCCAAATACAAACATACGCCAAAATCATACAAATTGGTCCAGTGGGTCAAAAGTTAGTTGAAAGTCCCTTTGTGACCATCTGCAAGAATGGCTTGGGTGTGGTAAGTCAATAACCTCCAGCATACAGAAAATAGCTCTATTCACAACAACAGTAAAAACACATAAAAATACATAATTCCTATTATACTTAACAGAACCCCCACATTCAACCTATCCCCAGATAGCTTGGATTTGGGCGCTCACTATATCCGAACAGTGCTCAGATGCCACAAACACAGTCAAATCGCCATGGAGTTAAAGGACCACTATAGTGCCAGGAAAACATACTTGTTTTCCTGGCACTATAGTGCCCTGAGGGTGCTCCCACCCTCAGGGACCCCCTCCCGCCGGGCTCTGGAGAGAGGAAGGGGTTAAACACTTACCTTTCTCCAGCGCCGGGCGGGGAGCTGTACTCCTCCTCTCCTCCTTGCTCGCGACGTCATCGGCTGAATGCGCACGCGCATTCAGCCGGTCGCATAGGAAAGCATTTACAATCCTTTCCTATGGACGCTTGCGTGCTCTCACTGTGATTTTCACAGTGAGAAGCACGCAAGCGTCTCTAGCGGCTGTCAATGAGACAGCCACTAGAGGCTCTGGAGGCTGGATTAACCCTCAGTATAAACATAGCAGTTTCTCTGAAACTGCTATGTTTATAAAAAAAAGGGTTAATCCTAGAGGGACCTGGCACCCAGACCACTTCATTAAGCTGAAGTGGTCTGGGTGCCTAGAGTGGTCCTTTAAAACATGGCAAGAGCTGATGAGAGACAGAGGAGGGGCAACAGCAAGTTCCAACTGGTCTGGCAGTGTGCCTGGGACAACGCCCTGCTGGAACAATAGACAGGAAACGAGGGAGGGGAAGAGACACATATTCCCATGGATTCAAATGGGCAGAAACAGTCTTTTAGAAGCCAGTAAGCCCCAAATAGTCTTTTTAAATGGCAATACACCCCAGGGCCACAGTCACGAGGGAGGAGGCTGGCAATCAGGCTCCTCCAACAGCCAAGGGCAAAGGGCAGTTGGTCATTTAAAAATCCAGTGACAAAAGGCATTTTGTCACGCATAGGTAACAAAATTATGAGGAGTGAGTTAGCTTGCCCCATCAAATACCTAGAGAAGCATGACAACCAATATTTGAAAGAAAAATCCTCATTTAATAATTGTAACAATTAATATATATTATAGCTATTTAACTAAGTGAAACAAGTCTGGACAGTGGTGGGACCATGAATATTAGATCATAATAAGTTATGTTACAGTGTGAAATCAGAACTTGGTACACATTAAAATATATGCAATAATTTTTGCGTAAAAGATTTCTAATATAGGAACAGAGAGACCATTACCAGTTCTGGGCTCTGTGTTGGTAGATTGTCTTCTCTCCACGGTGAAAAATTCTACTAAAACAACAATACAATAAAATTTATTGATTGCGCTCGTTTTGAAACTTGCCAAAAAGTAGTGATTAAGCATTGTTAGAATTAACACCTGAAAGAATTTTGATGTATAGACAAAAATAAGGTTTTCATGGTCCATCTTTCTTTAACATCTTCCACTTACCAATTCTTCTTTCTGTACAAGGTGTTCTTTCTTCTTTGAAGCTAATCTGTAAAACAGGAGAAACAACAATGCAATAATAAACCCAATCCTCAACCTGTCCACAGAGGTCTCCCAAAACAACAATCCACTAGCAATCCATGCTTGTTGACGCTAAAAAAGATTACATTTAAAAAATGTAGGCAACACAGAACTCTTTAGTTAGCCAGATCTCCCCTGAAGAAATGTTCAGCCTGTGAACCATAAAGGAAAAACAGGTTTCCCACATATTTACAGAAATTTCTCTTTCCAATCACATCTCCTCCTGAAAAAGAGAAAAAACCCGCAACAACAATACAAATATTATCCCATACTTTAACCCAATAAAATCCATTACATTTAAAGAAGAAAGCAACACAGACCTCTTTAGTTAGCCAGTTGTCCCCTGAAGAAATCCTCAGCCTGTGAATCATAAAGCAAACGACAGGTCTCCCACATCCCACATATTTCTAAACATTTCTCTTTCCAATCACATTAGCCAATTTCATTCTTTAATGGATTCACTCACAATTGGTAGGACTTCCTCCTAGACCAAAGGTTGTTTTCCAACTTCTTAAGAGACTCTGAAACTCATCAAAAACAATTCTCACCTGAAAACCGATGAAGATCCAATAATAGGTTGTCCAATTCTTCGTACTGCATATGGCGACTCTTGAGATATCTGTCAACCAGCAAACTACATAGACAGGCACACAAAGAGGCTCTTTCCCATCATCCCACAAAGACATGTTGAAATTATGCATTGTACTGACTTTATCCCAAGAACATCTTTACTTTTGGAAAAGTAGAATAGAAAGGTTCTTACATTTCAATTTCTCTATAGAAGAAGATGCTCTTTTCTCTTCTTTGAAACTATTGGTTAGAAAAAAAAAGAAAAACAACCCTCCCGCAACAACAATACAAATATTATCCAATACTTTTACACAATAAAATCCATTACATTTAAAGAAGAAAGCAACACAGACCTCTATAGCTAGCCAGTTGTCCCCTGAAGAAATCCTCAGCCTGTGAATCATAAAGCAAACGACAGGTCTCCCACATATTTCTAAACATTTCTCTTTCCAATCACATCAGCCAATTTCATTCTTTAATGGATTCACTCACAATTGGTAGGACTTCCTCCTAGACCAAAGGTTGTTTTCCAACTTCTTGAAGTACTCTGAAACTCATCAAAAACAATTCTCACCTGAAAACCGATGAAGATCCAATAATAGGTTGTCCAATTCTTCGTACTGCATATGGCGACTCTTGAGATATCTGTCAAGCAGCAAACTACATAGACAGGCACACAAAGAGGCTCTTTCCCATCATCCCACAAGGACATGTTGAAATTATGCATTGTACTGACTTGATCCCAAGAACATCTTTACTTTTGGAATAGTAGAATAGAAAGGTTCTTACATTTCAATTTCTCTATAGAAGAAGATGCTCTTCTCTTCTTTGAAACTATTGGTTAGAAAAAAAAAAGAGAAACAACCCTCCCGCAACAATACAAATATTATCCCATACTTTTACACAATAAAATCCATTACATTTAAAGAAGAAAGCAACACAGACCTCTTTAGCTAGCCAGTTGTCCCCTGAAGAAATCCTCAGCCTGTGAATCATAAAGCAAACGACAGGTCTCCCACATCCCACATATTTCTAAACATTTCTCTTTCCAATCACATCAGCCAATTTCATTCTTTAATGGATTCACTCACAATTGGTAGGACTTCCTCCTAGACCAAAGGTTGTTTTCCAACTTCTTGAGAGACTCTGAAACTCATCAAAAACAATTCTCACCTGAAAACCGATGAAGATCCAATAATACGTTGTCCAATTCTTCGTACTGCATATGGCGACTCTTGAGATATCTGTCAAGCAGCAAACTACATAGACAGGCACACAAAGAGGCTCTTTCCCATCATCCCACAAGGACATGTTGAAATTATGCATTGTACTGACTTGATCCCAAGAACATCTTTACTTTTGGAATAGTAGAATAGAAAGGTTCTTACATTTCAATTTCTCTATAGAAGAAGATGCTCTTCTCTTCTTTGAAACTATTGGTTAGAAAAAAAAAGAGAAACAACCCTCCCGCAACAACAATACAAATATTATCCCATACTTTTACACAATAACATTTACATTTAAAGAAGAAAGCAACACAGACCTCTTTAGCTAGCCAGTTGTCCCCTGAAGAAATCCTCAGCCTGTGAATCATAAAGCAAACGACAGGTCTCCCACATCCCACATATTTCTAAACATTTCTCTTTCCAATCACATCAGCCAATTTCATTCTTTAATGGATTCACTCACAATTGGTAGGACTTCCTCCTAGACCAAAGGTTGTTTTCCAACTTCTTGAAGTACTCTGAAACTCATCAAAAACAATTCTCACCTGAAAACCGATGAAGATCCAATAATACGTTGTCCAATTCTTCGTACTGCATAAGGCGACTCTTGAGATATCTGTCAAGCAGCAAACTACATAGACAGGCACACAAAGAGGCTCTTTCCCATCATCCCACAAGGACATGTTGAAATTATGCATTGTACTGACTTTATCCCAAGAACATCTTTACTTTTGGAATAGTAGAATAGAAAGGTTCTTACATTTCAATTTCTCTATAGAAGAAGATGCTCTTCTCTCTTCTTTGAAACTATTGGTTAGAAAAAAAAAAGAGAAACAACCCTCCCGCAACAATACAAATATTATCCCATACTTTTACACAATAAAATCCATTACATTTAAAGAAGAAAGCAACACAGACCTCTTTAGCTAGCCAGTTGTCCCCTGAAGAAATCCTCAGCCTGTGAATCATAAAGCAAACGACAGGTCTCCCACATCCCACATATTTCTAAACATTTCGCTTTCCAATCACATCAGCCAATTTCATTCTTTAATGGATTCACTCACAATTGGTAGGACTTCCTCCTAGACCAAAGGTTGTTTTCCAACTTCTTGAGAGACTCTGAAACTCATCAAAAACAATTCTCACCTGAAAACCGATGAAGATCCAATAATACGTTGTCCAATTCTTCGTACTGCATAAGGCGACTCTTGAGATATCTGTCAAGCAGCAAACTACATAGACAGGCACACAAAGAGGCTCTTTCCCATCATCCCACAAGGACATGTTGAAATTATGCATTGTACTGACTTTATCCCAAGAACATCTTTACTTTTGGAATAGTAGAATAGAAAGGTTCTTACATTTCAATTTCTCTATAGAAGAAGATGCTCTTCTCTTCTTTGAAACTATTGGTTAGAAAAAAAAAAGAGAAACAACCCTCCCGCAACAATACAAATATTATCCCATACTTTTACACAATAACATCCATTACATTTAAAGAAGAAAGCAACACAGACCTCTTTAGTTAGCCAGTTGTCCCCTGAAGAAATCCTCAGCCTGTGAATCATAAAGCAAACGACAGGTCTCCCACATCCCACATATTTCTAAACATTTCTCTTTCCAATCACATCAGCCAATTTCATTCTTTAATGGATTCACTCACAATTGGTAGGACTTTCTCCTAGACCAAAGGTTGTTTTCCAACTTCTTGAAGTACTCTGAAACTCATCAAAAATAATTCTCACCTGAAAACCGATGAAGATCCGATAGTACGTTGTCCAATTCTTCGTACTGCATATGGCGACTCTTGAGATATCTGTCAAGCAGCAAACTACATAGACAGGCACACAAAGAGGCTCTTTCCCATCATCCCACAAGGACATGTTGAAATTATGCATTGTACTGACTTTATCCCAAGAACATCTTTACTTTTGGAATAGTAGAATAGAAAGGTTCTTACGATTTCAATTTCTCTATAGAAGAAGATGCTCTTCTCTTCTTTGAAACTATTGGTTAGAAAAAAAAAAGAGAAACAACCCTACCGCAACAATACAAATATTATCCCATACTTTTACACAATAACATCCATTACATTTAAAGAAGAAAGCAACACAGAACTCTTTAGTTAGCCAGTTGTCCCCTGAAGAAATCCTCAGCCTGTGAATCATAAAGCAAACGACAGGTCTCCCACATCCCACATATTTCTCTTTCCAATCACATCAGCCAATTTCATTCTTTAATGGATTCACTCACAATTGGTAGGACTTCCTCCTAGACCAAAGGTTTTTTTCCAACTTCTTAAGAGACTCTGAAACTCATCAAAAACCATTCTCACCTGAAAACCGATGAAGATCCAATAATAGGTTGTCCAATTCTTCGTACTGCATATGGCGACTCTTGAGATATCTGTCAACCAGCAAACTACATAGACAGGCACACAAAGAGGCTCTTTCCCATCATCCCACAAGGACATGTTGAAATTATGCATTGTACTGACTTTATCCCAAGAACATCTTTACTTTTGGAAAAGTAGAATAGAAAGGTTCTTACATTTCAATTTCTCTATAGAAGAAGATGCTCTTCTCTCTTCTTTGAAACTATTGGTTAGAAAAAAAAAAGAGAAACAACCCTCCCGCAACAACAATACAAATATTATCCCATACTTTTACACAATAAAATCCATTACATTTAAAGAAGAAAGCAACACAGACCTCTTTAGTTAGCCAGTTGTCCCCTGAAGAAATCCTCAGCCTGTGAATCATAAAGCAAACGACAGGTCTCCCACATCCCACATATTTCTAAACATTTCTCTTTCCAATCACATCAGCCAATTTCATTCTTTAATGGATTCACTCACAATTGGTAGGACTTCCTCCTAGACCAAAGGTTGTTTTCCAACTTCTTGAAGTACTCTGAAACTCATCAAAAACAATTCTCACCTGAAAACCGATGAAGATCCAATAATAGGTTGTCCAATTCTTCGTACTGCATATGGCGACTCTTGAGATATCTGTCAACCAGCAAACTACATAGACAGGCACACAAAGAGGCTCTTTCCCATCATCCCACAAGGACATGTTGAAATTATGCATTGTACTGACTTTATCCCAAGAACATCTTTACTTTTGGAATAGTAGAATAGAAAGGTTCTTACATTTCAATTTCTCTATAGAAGAAGATGCTCTTCTCTCTTCTTTGAAACTATTGGTTAGAAAAAAAAAGAGAAACAACCCTCCCGCAACAACAATACAAATATTATCCAATACTTTACACAATAAAATCCATTACATTTAAAGAAGAAAGCAACACAGACCTCTATAGCTAGCCAGTTGTCCCCTGAAGAAATCCTCAGCCTGTGAATCATAAAGCAAACGACAGGTCTCCCACATCCCACCTATTTCCAAACATTTCGCTTTCCAATCACATCAGCCAATTTCATTCTTTAATGGATTCACTCACAATTGGTAGGACTTCCTCCTAGACCAAAGGTTGTTTTCCAACTTCTTCAAGTACTCTGAAACTCATCAAAAACAATTCTCACCTGAAAACCGATGAAGATCCAATAGTACGTTGTCCAATTCTTCGTACTGCATAAGGCGACTCTTGAGATATCTGTCAAGCAGCAAACTACATAGACAGGCACACAAAGAGGCTCTTTCCCATCATCCCACAAGGACATGTTGAAATTATGCATTGTACTGACTTTATCCCAAGAACATCTTTACTTTTGGAAAAGTAGAATAGAAAGGTTCTTACATTTCAATTTCTCTATAGAAGAAGATGCTCTTCTCTTCTTTGAAACTATTGGTTAGAAAAAAAAAAGAGAAACAACCCTCCCGCAACAATACAAATATTATCCCATACTTTTACACAATAAAATCCATTACATTTAAAGAAGAAAGCAACATAGACCTCTTTAGTTAGCCAGTTGTCCCCTGAAGAAATCCTCAGCCTGTGAATCATAAAGCAAACGACAGGTCTCCCACATATTTCTAAACATTTCGCTTTCCAATCACATCAGCCAATTTCATTCTTTAATGGATTCACTCACAATTGGTAGGACTTCCTCCTAGACCAAAGGTTGTTTTCCAACTTCTTGAAGTACTCTGAAACTCATCAAAAACAATTCTCACCTGAAAACCAATGAAGATCCGATAATACGTTGTCCAATTCTTCGTACTGCATAAGGCGACTCTTGAGATATCTGTCAAGCAGCAAACTACATAGACAGGCACACAAAGAGGCTCTTTCCCATCATCCCACAAGGACATGTTGAAATTATGCATTGTACTGATTTTATCCCAAGAACATCTTTCCTTTTGGAATAGTAGAATAGAAAGGTTCTTACATTTCAATTTCTCTATAGAAGAAGATGCTCTTCTCTCTTCTTTGAAACTATTGGTTAGAAGAAAAAAAAGAGAAACAACCCTCCCGCAACAACAATACAAATATTATCCCATACTTTTACACAATAACATCCATTACATTTAAAGAAGAAAGCAACACAGACCTCTTTAGTTAGCCAGTTGTCCCCTGAAGAAATCCTCAGCCTGTGAATCATAAAGCAAACGACAGGTCTCCCCACATATTTAAACATTTCGCTTCCAATCATTATCAGCCAATTCTCATTCTTTAATGGATTCACTCAATAATTGGTGGTGGACTTCCTAGACCAAAGGTTGTTTTCCAACTTCTTGAGAGACTCTGAAACTCATCAAAAACAATTCACACCTGAAAACCGATGAAGATCCAATAATAAGTTGTCCAATTCTTCGTACTGCATAAGGCGACTCTTGAGATATCTGTCAAGCAGCAAACTACATAGACAGGCACACAAAGAGGCTCTTTCCCATCATCCCACAAGGACATGTTGAAATTATGCATTGTACTGATTTTATCCCAAGAACATCTTTACTTTTGGAATAATAGAATAGAAAGGTTCTTACATTTCAATTTCTCTATAGAAGAAGATGCTCTTCTCTTCTTTGAAACTATTGGTTAGAAAAAAAAAGAGAAACAACCCTCCCGCAACAACAATACAAATATTATCCCTACTTCCTTTACACAATAACATCCACATATTTAAAGAAGAAAGCAACACAGACCTCTTTTAGTTAGCCAGTTGTCCCCTCAAAGAAACCAGCCTGTGAATCATAAAAGCAAACACAGGCCTCCCCACATCCCACATATTTCTAAACATTTCTTCTTCCAACGCTATCAGCCAATTTCATTCTTTTAATGTATCTACCCACAATTGTACTTCCTCCTAGAGCAAGGTTAAAGTTTCAACCTCTTCAAGTACCTTGAAACTCATCAAAACAATTCTCACCTGAAAACCGATGAAGATCCAATAATACATTGTCCAATTCTTCGTACTGCATAAGGCGACTCTTGAGATATCTGTCAAGCAGCAGACTACATAGACAGGCACACAAAGAGGCTCTTTCCCATCATCCCACAAGGACATGTTGAAATTATGCATTGTACTGACTTTATCCCAAGAACATCTTTACTTTTGGAATAGTAGAATAGAAAGGTTCTTACGTTTCAATTTCTCTATAGAAGAAGATGCTCTTCTCTTCTTTGAAACTATTGGCTAGAAAAAAAAAAGAGAAACAACCCTCCCGCAACAATACAAATATTATCCCATACTTTTACACAATAACATCCATTACATTTAAAGAAGAAAGCAACACAGACCTCTTTAGTTAGCCAGTTGTCCCCTGAAGAAATCCTCAGCCTGTGAATCATAAAGCAAACGACAGGTCTCCCACATCCCACATATTTCTAAACATTTCGCTTTCCAATCACATGAGCCAATTTCATTCTTTAATGGATTCCTCACAATTGAGAGTGGACTTCCCTCCTAGACCAAAGGGATTTTCATGTTCAACTTCTTGAGGAGACTCTGAAACTCCTTCAAAACAATTCTCACCTGAAAACGATGAAGATCCAATATTAGATTTGTCCGATTCTTCCATTACTGCGCCACAAAGGCTCTTACAGAGATATCTGTCAAGCAGCAAACTACATAGACAGGCACACAAGGAAGCTCTTTCCATCATCCCACAAAAGGACATGTAGAAGTATGCATTGTACTGACTTTATCCCAAAAGGCAATACTTTTGGAAAAGTAGAATAGAAAGGTTCTTACATTTCAATTTCTCTATAGAAGAAGATGCTCTTCTCTCTTCTTTGAAACTATTGGTTAAAAAAAAAAAGAGAAACAACCCTCCCGCAACAACAATACAAATATTATCCAATACTTTTACACAATAAAATCCATTACATTTAAAGAAGAAAGCAACACAGACCTCTATAGCTAGCCAGTTGTCCCCTGAAGAAATCCTCAGCCTGTGAATCATAAAGCAAATGACAGGTCCCCCACATATTTCTAAACATTTCTCTTTCCAATCACATCAGCCAATTTCATTCTTTAATGGATTCACTCACAATTGGTAGGACTTCCTCCTAGACCAAAGGTTGTTTTCCAACTTCTTCAAGTACTCTGAAACTCATCAAAAACAATTCGCACCTGAAAACCGATGAAGATCCAATAGTACGTTGTCCAATTCTTCGTACTGCATATGGCGACTCTTGAGATATCTGTCAAGCAGCAAACTACATAGACAGGCACACAAAGAGGCTCTTTCCCATCATCCCACAAGGACATGTTGAAATTATGCATTGTACTGACTTTATCCCAAGAACATCTTTACTTTTGGAATAGTAGAATAGAAAGGTTCTTACATTTCAATTTCTCAATATTAGAAGATGCTCTTCTCTCTTCTTTGAAACTATTGGTTAGAAAAAAAAAAGAGAAACAACCCTCCCGCAACAACAATACAAATATTATCCCATACTTTTACACAATAAAATCCATTACATTTAAAGAAGAAAGCAACACAGACCTCTTTAGCTAGCCAGTTGTCCCCTGAAGAAATCCTCAGCCTGTGAATCATAAAGCAAACGACAGGTCTCCCACATCCCACATATTTCTAAACATTTCGCTTTCCAATCACATGAGCCAATTTCATTCTTTAATGGATTCACTCACCATTGGTAGGACTTTCTCCTAGACCAAAGGTTGTTTTCCAACTTCTTGAGAGACTCTGAAACTCATCAAAAACAATTCTCACCTGAAAACCGATGAAGATCCAATAATACGTTGTCCAATTCTTCGTACTGCATAAGGCGATTCTTGAGATATCTGTCAAGCAGCAAACTACATAGACAGGCACACAAAGAGGCTCTTTCCCATCATCCCACAAGGACACGTTGAAATTAGGCATTGTACTGACTTTATCCCAAGAACATCTTTACTTTTGGAATAGTAGAATAGAAAGGTTCTTACATTTCAATTTCTCTATAGAAGAAGATGCTCTTCTCTCTTCTTTGAAACTATTGGTTAGAAGAAAAAAAAAGAGAAACAACCCTCCCGCAACAACAATACAAATATTATCCCATACTTTCACACAATAAAATCCATTACATTTAAAGAAGAAAGCAACACAGACCTCTTTAGCTAGCCAGTTGTCCCATGAAGAAATCCTCAGCCTGTGAATCATAAAGCAAACGACAGGTCTCCCACATCCCACATATTTCCAAACATTTCGCTTTCCAATCACATCAGCCAAATTCTTTCATTAATGGAGTCACTCACAATTGGTAGGACTTCCTCCTAGACCAAAGGTTGTTTTCCAACTTCTTGAGAGACTCTGAAACTCATCAAAAACAATTCTCACCTGAAAACCGATGAAGATCCAATAATACGTTGTCCAATTCTTCGTACTGCATAAGGCGACTCTTGAGATATCTGTCAAGCAGCAAACTACATAGACAGGCACACAAAGAGGCTCTTTCCCATCATCCCACAAGGACATGTTGAAATTATGCATTGTACTGACTTTATCCCAAGAACATCTTTACTTTTGGAATAGTAGAATAGAAAGGTTCTTACATTTCAATTTCTCAATAGAAGATGCTCTTCTCTCTTCTTTGAAACTATTGGTTAGAAAAAAAAAGAGACACAACCCTCCCGCAACAACATTACAAATATTATCCCATACTTTCACACAATAAAATCCATTACATTTAAAGAAGAAAGCAACACAGACCTCTTTAGCTAGCCAGTTGTCCCCTGAAGAAATCCTCAGCCTGTGAATCATAAAGCAAACGACAGGTCTCCCACATCCCACATATTTCTAAACATTTCGCTTTCCAATCACATGAGCCAATTTCATTCTTTAATGGATTCACTCACAATTGGTAGGACTTCCTCCTAGACCAAAGGTTGTTTTCCAACTTCTTGAGAGACTCTGAAACTCATCAAAAACAATTCTCACCTGAAAACCGATGAAGATCCAATAATACGTTGTCCAATTCTTCGTACTGCATAAGGCGACTCTTGAGATATCTGTCAAGCAGCAAACTACATAGACAGGCACACAAAGAGGCTCTTTCCCATCATCCCACAAGGACATGTTGAAATTATGCATTGTACTGACTTTATCCCAAGAACATCTTTACTTTTGGAATAGTAGAATAGAAAGGTTCTTACATTTCAATTTCTCAATAGAAGAAGATGCTCTTCTCTCTTCTTTGAAACTATTGGTTAGAAAAAAAAAGAGAAACAACCCTCCCACAACAATACAAATATTATCCCATACTTTTACACAATAAAATCCATTACATTTAAAGAAGAAAGCAACACAGACCTCTTTAGCTAGCCAGTTGTCCCCTGAAGAAATCCTCAGCCTGTGAATCATAAAGCAAACGACAGGTCTCCCACATCCCACATATTTCTAAACATTTCTCTTTCCAATCACATCAGCCAATTTCATTCTTTAATGGATTCACTCACAATTGGTAGGACTTCCTCCTAGACCAAAGGTTGTTTTCCAACTTCTTGAAGTACTCTGAAACTCATCAAAAACAATTCTCACCTGAAAACTGATGAAGATCCAATAATAGGTTGTCCAATTCTTCGTACTGCATATGGCGACTCTTGAGATATCTGTCAACCAGCAAACTACATAGACAGGCACACAAAGAGGCTCTTTCCCATCATCCCACAAGGACATGTTGAAATTATGCATTGTACTGACTTGATCCCAAGAACATCTTTACTTTTGGAATAGTAGAATAGAAAGGTTCTTACATTTCAATTTCTCTATAGAAGAAGATGCTCTTCTCTTCTTTTAAACTATTGGTTAGAAAAAAAAAAGAGAAACAACCCTCCCGCAACAATACAAATATTATCCCATACTTTTACACAATAACATCCATTACATTTAAAGAAGAAAGCAACACAGACCTCTTTAGCTAGCCAGTTGTCCACTGAAGAAATCCTCAGCCTGTGAATCATAAAGCAAACGACAGGTCTCCCACATCCCACATATTTCTAAACATTTCTCTTTCCAATCACATCAGCCAATTTCATTCTTGAATTGATTCACTCACAATTGGTAGGACTTCCTCCTAGACCAAAGGTTGTTTTCCAACTTCTTGAGAGACTCTGAAACTCATCAAAAACAATTCTCACCTGAAAACCGATGAAGATCCAATAATAGGTTGTCCAATTCTTCGTACTGCATATGGCGACTCTTGAGATATCTGTCAACCAGCAAACTACATAGACAGGCACACAAAGAGGCTCTTTCCCATCATCCCACAAGGACATGTTGAAATTATGCATTGTACTGAATTGATCCCAAGAACATCTTTACTTTTGGAATAGCAGAATAGAAAGTTTCTTACATTTCAATTTCTCTATAGAAGAAGATGCTCTTTTCTCTTCTTTGAAACTATTGGTTAGAAAAAAAAAGAGAAACAACCCTCCCGCAACAACAATACAAATATTATCCAATACTTTTAAAGAAGAAAGCAACACAGACCTCTATAGCTAGCCAGTTGTCCCCTGAAGAAATCCTCAGCCTGTGAATCATAAAGCAAACGACAGGTCTCCCACATCCGACATATTTCCAAACATTTCGCTTTCCAATCACATCAGCCAATTTCATTCTTTAATGGATTCACTCACAATTGGTAGGACTTCCTCCTAGACCAAAGGTTGTTTTCCAACTTCTTAAGAGACTCTGAAACTCATCAAAAACAATTCTCACCTGAAAACCGATGAAGATCTGATAATACGTTGTCCAATTCTTCGTACTGCATAAGGCGACTCTTGAGATATCTGTCAAGCAGCAAACTACATAGACAGGCACACAAAGAGGCTCTTTCCCATCATCCCACAAGGACATGTTGAAATTATGCATTGTACTGACTTTATCCCAAGAACATCTTTACTTTTGGAATAGTAGAATAGAAAGGTTCTTACGTTTCAATTTCTCTATAGAAGAAGATGCTCTTCTCTTCTTTGAAACTATTGGTTAGAAAAAAAAAGAGAAACAACCCTCCCGCAACAATACAAATATTATCCCATACTTTTACACAATAACATCCATTACATTTAAAGAAGAAAGCAACACAGACCTCTTTAGTTAGCCAGTTGTCCCCTGAAGAAATCCTCAACCTGTGAATCATAAAGCAAACGACAGGTCTCCCACATCCCACATATTTCTAAACATTTCTCTTTCCAATCACATCAGCCAATTTCATTCTTTAATTGATTCACTCACAATTGGTAGGACTTCCTCCTAGACCAAAGGTTGTTTTCCAACTTCTTGAGAGACTCTGAAACTCATCAAAAACAATTCTCACCTGAAAACCGATGAAGATCCAATAATACGTTGTCCAATTCTTCGTACTGCATATGGCGACTCTTGAGATATCTGTCAACCAGCAAACTACATAGACAGGCACACAAAGAGGCTCTTTCCCATCATTCCACAAGGACATGTTGAAATTATGCATTGTACTGACTTTATCCCAAGAACATCTTTACTTTTGGAAAAGTAGAATAGAAAGGTTCTTACATTTCAATTTCTCTATAGAAGAAGATGCTCTTCTCTCTTCTTTGAAACTATTGGTTAGAAAAAAAAAGAGAAACAACCCTCCCACAGCAACAATACAAATATTATCCCATACTTTTACACAATAAAATCCATTACATTTAAAGAAGAAAGCAACACAGACCTCTTTAGCTAGCCAGTTGTCCCCTGAAGAAATCCTCAGCCTGTGAATCATAAAGCAAACTACAGGTCTCCCACATCCCACATATTTCTAAACATTTCGCTTTCCAATCACATCAGCCAATTTCATTCTTTAATGGATTCACTCACAATTGGTAGGACTTCCTCCTAGACCAAAGGTTGTTTTCCAACTTCTTGAGAGACTCTGAAACTCATCAAAAACAATTCTCACCTGAAGACCGATGAAGATCCAATATTACGTTGTCCAATTCTTCGTACTGCATAAGGCGACTCTTGAGATATCTGTCAAGCAGCAAACTACATAGACAGGCACACAAAGAGGCTCTTTCCCATCATCCCACAAGGACATGTTGAAATTATGCATTGTACTGACTTTATCCCAAGAACATCTTTACTTTTGGAAAAGTAGAATAGAAAGGTTCTTACATTTCAATTTCTCTATAGAAGAAGATGCTCTTCTCTTCTTTGAAACTATTGGTTAGAAAAAAAAAAGAGAAACAACCCTCCCGCAACAATACAAATATTATCCCATACTTTTACACAATAAAATCCATTACATTTAAAGAAGAAAGCAACATAGACCTCTTTAGTTAGCCAGTTGTCCCCTGAAGAAATCCTCAGCCTGTGAATCATAAAGCAAACGACAGGTCTCCCACATATTTCTAAACATTTCTCTTTCCAATCACATCAGCCAATTTCATTCTTTAATGGATTCACTCACAATTGGTAGGACTTCCTCCTAGACCAAAGGTTGTTTTCCAACTTCTTGGAAGTACTCTGAAACTCATCAAAAACAATTCTCACCTGAAAACCGATGAAGATCCAATAATAGGTTGTCCAATTCTTCGTACTGCATATGGCGACTCTTGAGATATCTGTCAACCAGCAAACTACATAGACAGGCACACAAAGAGGCTCTTTCCCATCATCCCACAAGGACATGTTGAAATTATGCATTGTACTGACTTGATCCCAAGAACATCTTTACTTTTGGAATAGCAGAATAGAAAGTTTCTTACATTTCAATTTCTCTATAGAAGAAGATGCTCTTTTCTCTTCTTTTAAACTATTGGTTAGAAAAAAAAAGAGAAACAACCCTCCCGCAACAACAATACAAATATTATCCAATACTTTCACACAATAAAATCCATTACATTTAAAGAAGAAAGCAACACAGACCTCTATAGCTAGCCAGTTGTCCCCTGAAGAAATCCTCAGCCTGTGAATCATAAAGCAAATGACAGGTCCCCCACATATTTCTAAACATTTCTCTTTCCAATCACATCAGCCAATTTCATTCTTTAATGGATTCACTCACAATTGGTAGGACTTCCTCCTAGACCAAAGGTTGTTTTCCAACTTCTTCAAGTACTCTGAAACTCATCAAAAACAATTCTCACCTGAAAACCGATGAAGATCCAATAGTACGTTGTCCAATTCTTCGTACTGCATATGGCGACTCTTGAGATATCTGTCAAGCAGCAAACTACATAGACAGGCACACAAAGAGGCTCTTTCCCATCATCCCACAAGGACATGTTGAAATTATGCATTGTACTGACTTTATCCCAAGAACATCTTTACTTTTGTAATAGTAGAATAGAAAGGTTCTTACATTTCAATTTCTCTATAGAAGAAGATGCTCTTCTCTCTTCTTTGAAACTATTGGTTAGAAAAAAAAAAGAGACACAACCCTCCCGCAACAACATTACAAATATTATCCCATACTTTTACACAATAAAATCCATTACATTTAAAGAAGAAAGCAACACAGACCTCTTTAGTTAGCCAGTTGTCCCCTGAAGAAATCCTCAGCCTGTGAATCATAAAGCAAACGACAGGTCTCCCACATCCCACATATTTCTAAACATTTCTCTTTCCAATCACATCAGCCAATTTCATTCTTTAATGGATTCACTCACAATTGGTAGGACTTCCTCCTAGACCAAAGGTTGTTTTCCAACTTCTTGGAAGTACTCTGAAACTCATCAAAAACAATTCTCACCTGAAAACCGATGAAGATCCAATAATAGGTTGTCCAATTCTTCGTACTGCATATGGCGACTCTTGAGATATCTGTCAACCAGCAAACTACATAGACAGGCACACAAAGAGGCTCTTTCCCATCATCCCACAAGGACATGTTGAAATTATGCATTGTACTGACTTGATCCCAAGAACATCTTTACTTTTGGAATAGTAGAATAGAAAGGTTCTTACATTTCAATTTCTCTATAGAAGAAGATGCTCTTCTCTTCTTTGAAACTATTGGTTAGAAAAAAAAAGAGAAACAACCCTCCCGCAACAATACAAATATTATCCCATACTTTTACACAATAACATCCATTACATTTAAAGAAGAAAGCAACACAGACCTCTTTAGCTAGCCAGTTGTCCACTGAAGAAATCCTCAGCCTGTGAATCATAAAGCAAACGACAGGTCTCCCACATCCCACATATTTCTAAACATTTCTCTTTCCAATCACATCAGCCAATTTCATTCTTGAATTGATTCACTCACAATTGGTAGGACTTCCTCCTAGACCAAAGGTTGTTTTCCAACTTCTTGAGAGACTCTGAAACTCATCAAAAACAATTCTCACCTGAAAACCGATGAAGATCCAATAATAGGTTGTCCAATTCTTCGTACTGCATATGGCGACTCTTGAGATATCTGTCAACCAGCAAACTACATA